CGAGTAATTACCAACGAGATTAGATCAATATACGTACTCGGCCCCTCCTATACTCGAATCCTGGCTCCGCCACTGCTTGTCGGACCGATCATTTGCTGCATCCGTAGGAACTTGTCAACCGCACCGATTGTGATCCTTGCTGTCCAGTATTTGTGGCCTAGGAAGAAGAGTACCACCAGGGGAGCAACCACTAACCTGCACAGTACTGCACATATAGAACAGTTTTACGTGGGATCACCAAGAAATTACTTGTGTAGCTAGTATATGTAATTCTGTCGACGTACCAGCAATCAACCTCAATATCGTCGTGAGGAAATGTTGTTCGAAATGTGCAACTCAAGACTTCAAAATCGACAAACAAAATGCTCACAATCCAACGCGAGACACGATGAGCCACAGAATATCCAGGGCCTAGGCTGCAGGCAATGGAGAAAATGTAAAAAAGTCAGGTACATATGTATGTTCCAAAACAGAAGTACGGTGTATAGATCCCAAACTCACACAAAGCGATCTTTTAGGCAGCCCTTGAAGCCCCCCAACCTCCTCACATATCTGAAAGGAAACTTAACAGCAAATCCTCTCCTCCGGGATTCTACTACAATTCCATGACTTGCATTATCGTATCCCAAGCTCCGATCACCCAAAGCAGCCATGGCGAAGCACCCGCAAGAAGGCTCAAGGTTCCCAACAGAAATAAAGTTAATCAACAGTTCAACACATATACTCCCTCCGCCCGAAAATACTTGTCATCAAAATGGATAAAAAGGGATGTATCTAGAACTAAAATACATCTAGATACATCCTCTTTTATTCATTTAGATGACAAGTATTTCCGGACGGAGGGAGTACAAAAGAAGACCTCGTGCTCAGGCAAGCGACCGGTGTGTAGAGTGTAGTCACTATTGTTCGTGACCACTCGTGAACAATTCACAAAGCTAGCCCACGTAGCTGAAACAGGCTCTAATTCGACAAAGCCGGCGAACTGCTGGAGGTCATACAAATAAGGGCGCTGATCCCAGCGAGGAAGAGGGCAGTTGCTGTTCATGTCCAAGTTGGCGTCCACGACCCAGAAGAAAGAAGACTTGTAGTCGATCTCAGTGACAAAGTATGTCCCTGTGTTGATCTGAATTGTAGCACTGCTGTTGCCACAAGTCAGCTCGTACAATGGAGAGCCGCACCACCGTGGATCGCCTTGCAGGCGGAAAGGGTACCGGACATCTTGGAGATGGCCACAAGAGAAAGGAGCACAGACGTACCTACTATCAGTAATGTCAAGTCGCCCCTGAACATCTACAGCAAGAACTGTGACCATGAAATGCACCACGAACCACCATGGACGCATCACCGATGGTCAACAGTTTATATCTTGTTCTGGCTTTGTTGTGGGCTTACTTCTCGTGTACTGGGCACAACCCTCTCACCCTTTAATAACAGTTCCAGGAGCACCCACAGTGTATGTGGGATGTTACTATAAGGAAAGAAAGGAGGGTTAAAACAAACACAACAAATACAGGGATGATGGAATTAAAAAAAAGCATGTAGAAAAGACCCGGTCAGAGATGGCCAACGTCCACATCGCTGCTGCCATATGTCATCACAACGGGGATGCTCCATATGCCATATGTCATCACAATGGAGATGCTCCATATGTATATGGTCCTTGTTGACTCCTCCTAGTCCTAGTTAGTATCATCAGGCAGGGATGCTGGCATATGCTGCTGTGAGTTGGCAAGGGGATTGAACATTTCAGTGTCAGGTCAGGGATTCTGCTGTAGTGATGTACTCTACAAAGCTCCATCTACAACGATTTCACTTACTAGAAACGACGTGGGTTTGCAGTTTGCGCTCATTCATGCACGGAGGAAGTTCTTACCCAGGCAAGCACAACTTAGACTACTGATTTATTCTTATGTCTTTGTAATCACAGTACCTGGCTTACCTTCATCCACCTTGGCAGAGCAGAAGGAGAAAGATGAGGATATTTCTTGTCACAGCCCTGGTGGTCTGCCTTGTCAGCCATGGAACCGACATGGCCACAGCTTCGGCAGCTTGGGATGACCAAGATTTCTTCAGAAACTGTCTGCCGTCCCGGTGCAGCAAAGATGGACCTGAGATTCGGTTCCCACTCCGGCTTGATTCCAGCAATACATCATCATCCTGTGGCGCAACATGCGCGAAACTAGCATGCTCAGGTCAAGCCACTATCATGTTTCACCCACTTCTTGGCCCATGCAATGTCACCGCCATGAATTACACCGGTACCGTCCTCAACATCACCCCCCCTTACCTCCGCGTGCACGATGATTCAGAATCTCATATCGACAAGTTCACCACCGGCTCACACTGGCCACCACTGTACTCCACATTATAGCAGAACTGGAAAGCTTGTAGGCTGCTCAAGGGAGTTCACGCCAGGCGGGATTACTCAGTATCCCGTCTATGATGACAGAGGCGGTTACTATGCTTCTTCCTCAGCTACCGATACTATCGCCGGCCCAATCTCCTGCCTTAGCAACAAAAGCCACTTCTCGTATTTGGTGGCAACTGATGGATTCATGTATGACCTTCCATTGGACTGCAAGGTAATATCAGATGCCGCCCTCCCGATATTTGGTACAGGATATTATGGCTCAGCATCCAATCACGGTGTCAAAGGAACCCTCAGTTTTTATGACATAGCAGCCAACTGGAGTGAACACGAGCCTTCATCCATTCCTTCTCAGTGCCAAAAATGCGAAGAGAACGGGGCAGCGCTGCGCATTCAGCTCACAAAGGAACCAAACATTCTGCTTGTCTCAACCTCATAAAGGTATCATTAATTTCTAACTTTACTTAACCCATGCCATCCTATATTATCCTGTTAACTCCCTGTTTTGTAGCTTAAAATCATTGAGAAAATCCTATTTAGAATGTACTCATATACTACTGTGCGACATTTCCAGGAGTTCTGTTGTCAAATTATTTTGCGTAACAGTACGACAAACCATTTGGGTAGCTAGCTTGAGCAAACAGATTATAAACTTGTGTAAATTCTCATCTCAATCCTCCAAAATTAAGAAACAAAATGGGGTCACGTATTTTGATGCCAGGACGTAGTAAACATTGGAGAAAAACTTGAGTGGTCCAAAAGTAGATTAAAAAAACTAAGCAACTCTATCAAATATTTCATGATAATTTATGGCAATGACCTGGGTTTATTTGATCAATTAGCGAACAGCCATGTCTTACACATAACAGTATACTACTATAAATTTTTAGCATTTTCATGATAGAAAAAAACACATTTGAGATAAACACAAGCAATCTCTCAATTGCAATACACTTCAGAATTCCTAGAACGTATTCCAAGAACTTCAAGTTTCTATGGTTGTTATTAGACATGAGCCAACAAATTACAGCCATTTTTGTTTCTAATTCCCTCCTTTCCCCCCTGTACCAACTGCATTCCTTAAAGTTTTTCGCTTGCCCAGACAATCGGGTTGCAACGATTTAGGCTTAAACTTAATCCAAAATACATGATACCTCATACTAGTAATCTTACTAAACTCCACTGCCAATATGCATTGCTCTCAGCATTGTTCTGGCGAGGTGACATGTCGAATAGTTGGATATGCCAAATAGCATTGACTCATGTTAGAAAACCCAAAACACGTTTTAGTTAGGCAGCTTGAATCCATCACCATCCATTCATTTCCCACCATTATCATACGTGAAAATGAAGTACCAGAGCCTGATGCGGCATTAGCTGTTACTAATATTGGTAATGTAGTACTGTACAAAAAGAAATAGATTTACATGGTGAAGAATATAAGATGGAGTACATATCACACAGAACAGAGTAGCTTAAAGAACCACCTGATGGGGAGAAATATAAGAAGTGAAAACAAGAAATGCATATATGCCTAAAGAAAGTTTACCTGGGAGCCTGTGCCTCGCCATGACACCTACAAGCTTTCCAGTTCTGCTATAATGTGGAGTACAGTGGTGGCCAGTGTGAGCCGGTGGTGAACTTGTCGATATGAGATTCTGAATCATCGTGCACGCGGAGGTAAGGGGGGGTGATGCCAGTACAGTGGAAGGTATATCAGATGGGTTCTGAGGCATACAAGAAGGGATTTGGCCATGACTGGTTGAGGATCTACAAGAAGGAATTTTCAAAAATAGAGGGTTGTTTCGACGGGTGATGGGGGCAATATATGTGAGATTGTGACTGCGGGGTGGGTTAAAAAAACTTAATCCAACCAAGCCAGCAAGCAACCCCCCCCCCCTCTCGTACCCTCTTTTGATTCTCAGTTGACCCTAAAGACTCCTCTGTTACCAGAGTTGGTAATGGAAGCTTTCTTCTGATCCTGTCCCGCCCCCCACTGGCCAGTGGGCATATATCACTGTTTGATCTAACTTTTCTTTCTCAAGTTAATTAGTTAATTTTCATTTTACATATTACACAAACAACCAAATCTTATTCGCATCTTTGGTATTTGCAGGTTCACGTGTAAAAATCATTGCAGGTACTACCCCAATCCAAACTTTTACTTTTTTAGAAAAAGATGAAAATAAAGTTATATCTGCTGCACATAAAGTAATTAGCTAGCTATTCCCGCTCTTACATTCTCTCATCCCCATTACAATCGCTAAAGCGGTAACTTCAGACCCTAATGAATAAGCTGATTTTCATGTATTCAGCTACATCATCTTTGGCAGCATTTGTTGTTCTTCTGTTGTTGGTGGCCACGGCTCTTTATCTTTCGCTGAAGACAAGATACAATGAAGAGATACATTTGAAAGTTGAAATGTTTCTCAATACATATGGTACATCAAAACCCACAAGGTACACTTTCTCCGAAATCAAGAAGATAACGCGACGGTTCAAGGATAAATTAGGACATGGTGGATTTGGAAGTGTGTACAAAGGTGAGCTACCAAATGGAGTTCCTGTGGCTATCAAGATGCTAGAGAACTCTAATGGAGAGGGGCAGGAATTCATCAACGAGGTTGCAACCATCGGGAGAATCCACCATACAAATATTGTCCGCCTCCTTGGCTTTTGTTCTGAAGGGACAAGAAGGGCTCTTATTTATGAATTCATGCCTAAAGATTCATTAGAGAAATATATATTCTCGGGTAGTTCTATTGTTTCTCAAGAACACCTGGTCCCAGACAAAATGCTAGTTATTGCTTTAGGCATTGCTAGAGGAATGGAATACTTACATCAAGGATGCAATCAGCGCATCCTCCACTTGAACATCAGGCCTCACAATATCTTACTGGACTACAGCTTCAATCCGAAGATCTCTGACCTCAGCCTCGCAAAGTTGTGTCCAAGGGACCAAAGCATCATTACCTTGACTGCGGCATGAGGCACTATGGGCTACATCGCACCAGAACTATACTCTAGGAACTTTGGAGGGATATCCTACAAGTCAGATGTCTATAGTTTTGGTTTGCTGGTGTTAGAAATGGTGAGCCGAAAGAGGAACTCAGACCCAAGTATTGAGAGCCGGAACCAGGTATATCTCCCGGAGCGGATCTATGAAAAAGTCATGACTGGAGAGGAACTAGTGCTTACTGTGGAAGTGACACCAGAAGGGAAAGAAAAGGTGAGACAGCTGGCTATTGTGGCACTCTGGTGTATTCAGTGGAACCCAAGAAACCGGCCATCGATGACAAAAGTGATAAACATGTTATTGGGAAGTTTGCAGGATCTGCAGATGCCCCCTAAGCCCTTTGTCCCATCTGAAAATCGCCGCGCACCATAACAAAACATGAATATCGTATCACCATAGTGTACTAGTCCTACACTTGAGGGATATAGGTAATTCATGGCAATGCAGTTGGTAGCAACTAGAAAGTTTGGATGTTCCTTCAACTATGTCAGCTTCCTGGTGTAGCTTATGAGCCACTATATTTGTGATAATTGTGATAACTACGAAGTAGAAACATATGAACTTGAATTTGATTTGCAACGAAATAGTTGGAACATGAGGAGCTAGCACTCATTGCTGTGATTTATTTCTGCACTAATTTTTTAATCTGCAGTGCACTAGTCACCCCCAGTTCCTCATTCCAAATACAGATGAGGTTATGTATAACCAAGCAACACAAGGCTTAAGAAAAAAGGAAACGAAAGGTGAGGCTATGTATACCTAAGCAAGTCCAGCTTGTGCAGAGGAGCTGCGGTAGCCAACCGGAGAGAGCATGGTGGTGGCCGGCGGCGGCGCTGCTGCCGTCGCTGCAATTAACCACCAGCGGCTCCAACGGTGAAGAAAGGGGAGAGAACGAAGTGAAGTAATCTAGCTAAGATAAGCTACCACACGGACGCCTCGCTGCACCCGCCGGGGGCCATGGAGGCGCCGCCGCGGCCGACTGGACAACGCCGCCGCCGCCGCGGCGGCGGGGGGCAGGGCAAGGATCATGACGTCAAGCGGAAGCCCACCCACAACTTGAACAGGCTCAACCACACGGCCCATTTCCTCCTCGACATTTCCTATTTCACGCACTCTGCGTCAAGTAGTCGCTTCTTCACACACTAGCCACTAGCAAGCGTTAGATGGGCCAGTCCATTTTAGAGCTAGTTACCTGCCGGAAGGTTCCTGGCCGGTTCTGGGAACCTCTAAAAAAGGGGTTTCTGAACTGTTATTTCTTACCAAATGATAAGTGCCACACGTGTGTCATGAAATTGACATTTTTTACACTAAAGTTGCCATCCGAAAGAAATCCTAAAAAAACTAAAACTTGCCATCCAAAGAGAAAGTTGCCATGCTTCACAACTAAAGTTGTCATCCTCTTGTAACTAAACTTGCCATTAAAAAGTGTCAGGACGGAATTGCTTCGTGCCACACGTGTGGCATTTATTAGGGTTCTATTTCTTTTACATTTTAATGGTTTCCATTTTTATTTTTATTTTCAAATTTTCTTTCCTTTTATTTTTTATTTTTCCTTCTCTTTTTATTTTTTCAAAAATTTAACTAAATGTTTTTAAATTTGAAAAAAGGTGTTTGTGTTTTCAACTTTTTTTTACAGACTTGAAGAAAATGTTCATGTTTGTAAAAGATGTTCATACATCTGAATAAATATTCGTGTTTACTAAAAATGTTCACATTTCCAATACATTTTCGCAAAATTGAAAAACTCCCATTCCTCCTTACCGCTGCATACCTCAAAACTGAAAATAGAAGACCAACCGAAAAATAAATAAATAACAAAAAATCAACCAAAAACTTCTAGAAGCTTCCCAGCCAAGCCGAAAACTACTAAAACCTGGAACAATTGAAAGCTTTATCTGCCTGGCACATG